ATATTAATGTTTTCACGTTAGAAGTATGTGGTGTTTGTTTTTGCCATGAGAGGGGTGTGTGCGGGCGCTGTTGGGCGTTAGCGCGCTTCAGTACAGTACAATAAGACGACTCACAAGATATCAGACAAATAAACCAATCGACTTAGCAAGTCAAGCAACTGATATGCACGCAGAATATTTACAATAGTTGTTGTGATATTATATGACGTATGATCATGTAATGCCGTTTCGTGTAATAACTTGTATTGATTGTAGACTACACTGACCTCATGACGTTCTAACAGGCTTTTTGCTCAAACACGTCTTGTATTCATGTATAGTTTCATGTATAAAAGATATTACTCGAATGTTCCTAACATAAATTACTTTATATAAAATTGCACTTTTATCAACCACTAACATTTTTCTATAAGAAGTCGCAACACACTATAACAGCTAATGTATTCCCGTTTTAACCCACTGAAATGACTTTCTTCCCCTTTTCCCCCGAAACAGCCGCTAAAGGAATGTTAGGCAGATGTTTTGTCATAATTTGGCAGGCGTTTCCACTGTCCTGAGATGGCAAACACGACGCGCTGATGGAGTTGTTTACAAGAAGAGATTCGCACGGAGGGCGGGGATGTTGTGGGCGGGGTCTGCGGGATGATGTGGGAGGAGCCAAACGCATGCCAAATACGAGAGCAAAGTATAGAAGGTGGAGTCAGAGTTACCATAACAAGTCTGTCGTCACAGGGGTGCTGTGTATGAATAATTAAAGCTCAAAACGAAGGTATTGAATCTCTTGCTGTCAGATAGGGCGTTGACATCTAATGCAGTGTATCCAATGAAAATATGGCATAAAGTCCAATCATGATATTATAATTTCTACTTTGTACAAGTTATGTTTAACAAATAAACACTTATAATCAAACTTTGCACATACTTTAGTTTCTCCGTTTTTCAAAGACTACAAAATGTATACAAGTTACTACAACATTAGTTGTACATCCTTATTTATTATGCAAATTGTGTAAATATTAGTAGAAATGGGAAAAAATTCCCATCCTTCTACATACATTAACATTTGTTTTAGGGCAGCTTGTACTACAAAAAAAAAAGATGTTTACTTACATTAAACACTTTGAAAACCAATCAAATAAAAGTTTCAAAAAAATAATACCTGCTTTTTCTGTGTCTATAAAATTGGGCTGATTTGTGATGTCATACATTTAAAAGCCATAAAGGGAAAGACTTCATTGCCAAACCCCAAAACATTTGGAATCTCTGAAAAGCTCAAGATGTCATTTAAAATTGTTTCTGCAGAGGAAGAAATTGAATTTCTCTGTTCTAGAAGGTTATATTGAAAATTGCTATATATAATATATATCAAAGCTTATATAATATATAAATTATAATAGAGTTATTGAAAACATTTTATTATATTCATATCATTTGGATAAACACCATGAAAGTTTAAAATATATAGTATAAGTGTATTCTTCCTTTTAATATATAATTACAGAAATTTACCCATGCTGTTAGTAAATTAGACCCAGGCATTATCCTCCATCACTTGCCCCATGTTACACCACCCCTTTTAACTCGGTCATCTGAACATTTTTAGAATAATACAGCAAGATGAGTAAGTGGTAATGTTGTGATACATGAAAATGCAATAATACAACTGTATGTTTAAAAAAAGTCAGAAAAATGTTTTTTTCTCATCTGAAGAGCTGGGTCGTTTTCAATTTGATGTTTACATGTATTTGGGAAATCCTCTTATCTAAATGTTTGTTCTCGGCCTCTGCTGAACTTCTGTCTTTCTTCAGACGAAAAACGCATTATAGCTTTTAGATGTCTGCTTATGGCAGTGTTGCACGTAGACTCATCACGGACCAATTATAGCCTATGACTCATCCAAAGATAGGAGTTTCCAACTGGACCTCCCCCCCCCCAATGTTTATTTAAGTATCATTATCAACATATTTCAACGCATATTTGACATAAATGTGTAATGTTGCAAATAATCATGACATGTCTGACATCATATGGAAATGTTTGTATAGACAACATTTTATTTAATAGTAGCATTTGTACTTATTATTTTACTCTTAAAACCTATCAAACTCCAATAAAATACACACAGTCTAATATTGTTTCATATATCTACCGAACCTCTGTTGAACTTATTGATCTGCCACATTCTACCAGTGTGCTCTGCAGCCCTCTTGTGAAACTGCAGCCCACAGTTTCTGGCAACTCGGATGGTGAGGACGGGAAGTCCCTCCCTCATGGCAGGCTTAAACCTCTTGGTCTTAAAGACCTTCCAGAGAGGGCTTTGTGTTTTGCTGATATCTATTTTAAAACACAGAGACTGTAGGCTACCTGTAAAACGGACACAGCTGCTTCATGAAGTTAGGTTTAGGACTTTATGGACAAAAAAACAACAGTAATGAAATGTAAGCCTAGTTCATTAATAATATTTGTTATTTAAATATTTATTTCTGTAGTCTAAATTATTTACGAATACATTTATTATTTATGAATCTGTAAAACATATTTTTACTGTTTTACTGTTTAGCCTATATATAGACTAGATTACATATATATATAACGGCAGTAATGTCTTAGCATTACTTCTGAATGAGAAGCATAGCCTAATAATGGTTAGTTAGCAGTAATTATTTAATATAAGAATCTGTTATTAATGGTTGAATTGAATCTTCATTCAATGGACATAATTTTCATCCATATTTTTAATGCTACTACAATATTTAACTAAAGTAAAGTCAGCGCATAAAGATGTATTTTATAATAATTTTCATAACTGAATCATTTGTGAAAAATTATAGGCTATGTATAAATTTGATATTTTGGGCAATTTATGGATTTATGTTTACATCACAGCAATACACAAAGGATTAACATTCAAAGAGTTTAATCGCATGCATAATAGTAAGTAGTTTATATATATATATATATACAGTGGTAATGCTGTGCTGTAGCCATAAACATCGACTAGCTTACTCTCCGCCTAAGGGTTAATGCCATTGGTACCGCATTTGATTTGACAGCCGGATGGGCCAATAGGAGGCATGTGACATAAGCTCGTCGTTACCCTATTTTCGGGAATGTGGTCGACGCTTGACAGGAAAGGTTAGTTGATCAAGAAGTCTTAACCGCGGTTTGTACCACTGTGAAGTGAAGTTTGCTTTGAAAATAAGTCTCGTGGGATAAACCTTATATTAACGGAGAGCATTTTGGAGTTAAATAACGAGCGCTTTACAGCAACAAAATACCAAGAGGAAGTGTTCAAACGTCTGTAATGATCGAAATTAAACGGAAGTAGCTTTGCCTGGCGAGGTAAGGACGAGGGCCGTAACTCTTTACATCCTGACCCGAATATGTCTGGGGGTCTGGTTGTATGTCTGTCTTTTCTGTTCTTTTCATGTGCGGTGTTAGTAAATATCAAGTTGTTAGACGCTTTGTTGTCAGCTTGTTGTCAGTTTAATATGTCGATTAAAGTGTTAAAGAAGTAACTCAGTCAAGAAGTAAATAGTGCAGAATCAGTCATCATTGGACTTAAATTGTAGATGTAAATGCCGTTACCTGCAAACTGTTAATTTTAATCTTTGTCTGACTGATAATAAATTATAATGGATGTTTTAGACGAGGCTGCTAGCTGGCTGTAAAATAATGAAAAGTTACCTTTTTAAAGCACACTAGCTCCTAGTTAAACCTTCGCGATTTTAAGTGGTAAGAACAATCCTTAGCTTTGTTTTTGTGTGTGTGTGTGTGTTATTGTTGCTAACTTGCTAAACATTGACATTATTTTTGTTGATGTCTTTGACTATATAGTAGTTAAATGGTTAAACTCGTTGCTTCTGTGACTGCAGTTTTGTCGATAGAAATTTGAACGCTTGTACACTGTTATCACAAATTGTATATTTGCTGAACAAAAGTGTTTGCATTATATTTGATGCGCTTTGCAGAGATCGACCGATGCTGATTATTTTTATGCCCATAACTGCTATGCAGAAGATTGCTTATTCCTGAATTTCACAACAATAAATATACATATCATATACTAGAAGTACAAACAAATAATGCATATAATTTTTTATTAATAAAAATATAAGTGAGATTACATTTATGCAAAGCTGTTTTCGTATTTTATTTATTTTTGGGCAGTGTTTTGAAAATGATAACTTGGATGGTGATTAAAAGCTGTTTAATGAAGTGAGAATTTTTGAAACTAAAAAAAATTGTTCAAACCAATTATCAGTCTATATCTACTGTTGAATTAATGTACTCTGTTGAGTATGATGGGTGTCAGCACCAATTCAATCAGATCACATTCTGTCTAATTGATTAAACTGTTTAAAATGATCATGGAACTGAGTGATGGCTACTCATAAAAATCTCAGTTTTAGAGGAAATCCAGTGGTTAACTCAAAGCTATTGAATTGTAGTCGCCTTGACTTTACATTTTCTTGTAATTTTACAAAGAGAAACATGTGAAATTCCCATTAGTTTTTTTTGTTTTAATTCATCAAGATTCATCAACATTCCCAAGCAAAAGAGGGACTACAACAATACAATGCTTTTAGTTGAGTACTGTTTGATTACGTCATCTGGACAGTTTGATACTGGTAGACTGATCCAATATGGACAAAAGTGACTGTGAGAGATACTCAGTTCCTATAGAGGTTTTAGTGGGGAATCCCTTTTAAATAACAGTACTAACCAATCCTTTTCAAAAAGAAAGAAAAAAAGTTATGTTCCCCACCCCAAAGATTTAGTCAAGTTTGATAATTTGCTAAAATTGTCAAAATTGAGACGTTTCATTCCCATAGAGCCTGCATTGGTAGGGAAGCCCATTTAAATTGCAGCACTATACTGACTTATAATTTCATAATGTCATCCCTTAAGATTCTATGTCAGCTTCATATTAATTAATCGATAAAACTTTGTCAAAAGACATTTATTTTAAGTAGAGTATTGGTCACTCTACAGGAAAGGTTAGTTGATCAAGAAGTCTTAACCGCGGTTTGTACCACTGTGAAGTGAAGTTTGCTTTGAAAATAAGTCTCGTGGGATAAACCTTATATTAACGGAGAGCATTTTGGAGTTAAATAACGAGCGCTTTACAGCAACAAAATACCAATAGGAAGTGTTCAAACGTCTGTAATGATCGAAATTAAACGGAAGTAGCTTTGCCTGGCGAGGTAAGGACGAGGGCCGTAACTCTTTACATCCTGACCCGAATATGTCTGGGGGTCTGGTTGTATGTCTGTCTTTTCTGTTCTTTTCATGTGCGGTGTTAGTAAATATCAAGTTGTTAGACGCTTTGTTGTCAGCTTGTTGTCAGTTTAATATGTCGATTAAAGTGTTAAAGAAGTAACTCAGTCAAGAAGTAAATAGTGCAGAATCAGTCATCATTGGACTTAAATTGTAGATGTAAATGCCGTTACCTGCAAACTGTTAATTTTAATCTTTGTCTGACTGATAATAAATTATAATGGATGTTTTAGACGAGGCTGCTAGCTGGCTGTAAAATAATGAAAAGTTACCTTTTTAAAGCACACTAGCTCCTAGTTAAACCTTCGCGATTTTAAGTGGTAAGAACAATCCTTAGCTTTTTTTGTGTGTGTGTGTGTGTGTTATTGTTGCTAACTTGCTAAACATTGACATTATTTTTGTAGTAATAATGACTATATAGTAGTTAAATGGTTAAACTTGTTGCTTCTGTGACTGCAGTTTTGTCGATAGAAATTTGAACGCTTGTACACTGTTATCACAAATTGTATATTTGCTGAACAAAAGTGTTTGCATTATATTTGATGCGCTTTGCAGAGATCGACCGATGCTGATTATTTTTATGCCCATAACTGCTATGCAGAAGATTGCTTATTCCTGAATTTCACAACAATAAATATACATATCATATACTAGAAGTACAAACAAATAATGCATATAATTTTTTATTAATAAAAATATAAGTGAGATTACATTTATGCAAAGCTGTTTTCGTATTTTATTTATTTTTGGGCAGTGTTTTGAAAATGATAACTTGGATGGTGATTAAAAGCTGTTTAATGAAGTGAGAATTTTTGAAACTAAAAAAAATTGTTCAAACCAATTATCAGTCTATATCTACTGTTGAATTAATGTACTCTGTTGAGTATGATGGGTGTCAGCACCAATTCAATCAGATCACATTCTGTCTAATTGATTAAACTGTTTAAAATGATCATGGAACTGAGTGATGGCTACTCATAAAAATCTCAGTTTTAGAGGAAATCCAGTGGTTAACTCAAAGCTATTGAATTGTAGTCGCCTTGACTTTACATTTTCTTGTAATTTTACAAAGAGAAACATGTGAAATTCCCATTAGTTTTTTTTGTTTTAATTCATCAAGATTCATCAACATTCCCAAGCAAAAGAGGGACTACAACAATACAATGCTTTTAGTTGAGTACTGTTTGATTACGTCATCTGGACAGTTTGATACTGGTAGACTGATCCAATATGGACAAAAGTGACTGTGAGAGATACTCAGTTCCTATAGAGGTTTTAGTGGGGAATCCCTTTTAAATAACAGTACTAACCAATCCTTTTCAAAAAGAAAGAAAAAAAGTTATGTTCCCCACCCCAAAGATTTAGTCAAGTTTGATAATTTGCTAAAATTGTCAAAATTGAGACGTTTCATTCCCATAGAGCCTGCATTGGTAGGGAAGCCCATTTAAATTGCAGCACTATACTGACTTATAATTTCATAATGTCATCCCTTAAGATTCTATGTCAGCTTCATATTAATTAATCGATAAAACTTTGTCAAAAGACATTTATTTTAAGTAGAGTATTGGTCACTCTGAAGCTCTTATCCTGATGTTGGTAAAATAGTCTTTACAAGAGCCTCTTTAGGATATGACTGGTGTCTGTACAGAACTGCCAAAATAAAAGAAAAAAAAAGTGAAAGCAGATTGTGAAGTGAAGTGGGTTTAGTCATATTAAACTGAGGGTAAAGAGAAATGGTGAGATCTTACCGTGTTCTTTTTGTGTGGCCATTGCTGAACATTGCAAATGGAGTTTCCCTTTAGATTAGTACATGTTGTACAGTATGGTGTTCTGAAACGGGTCATGCTACTGTAGACTAAATGAGGCCTTCATCACAAGAGCAACTACTAAACGTTTTGAAATATGCCACAAAAGGTATTTAAGTTGCCAGAGGCAGTTTTCGGTAAAGAATATGACACAGTCAAGTCACATTATTCCTCCATATGTGTAAAACATAACAGAAAGACATATAGCTCTTGTTATAGCAAGCTGCAGAATGAAATGTTTTTATTTGAAAGTAAAATACAGAAAAAAATTAATGCTGTTGAAGAGAAATTAAATAAGTAACATAGGCCTTAATGTTTTATCATCAGTTAATGATCAAATAAGGTTCTTGTTGTTTGAAGAAATCATTACCTTTGTAAGAAGAATGATATCAGAAATTTGATTGTCTACAGTTGAGGAAATTATGTTTATATATAGATGTGTTTTATTAAATCATACTTGATATAATGGATGACATATTTGGGAACATTTAAGAAAAGGTAAACTGTTTATAACTTGTAGAGGAATGATTTGTTCATCTTTCTGCTCTGCAGTTATTATACAGAAAAATAACCCAAATGCAGTGTAAATTTGATTGCATAAATGAAAAGACATTGCAGATTATTACAGGATCAGGTAAAATAACATAATTAAAGACTAGTATACAATTAACCTATATGATAACTTTTAACTATTGATATAGAAGGATCTCCATGATGAAGGAAGCTGTCCATGAAATCTAAACTTGCCTCTGTTTTGGGTTCATTTGAAAAAGGTTTTCATTGTGGTATTAAGCGCCTGCAAACAGGATAAAACAGTTACAGCAGGTTCCCGCACCTACACACATTTGACGCGTATACTCAAGCGGTCTACCAGCAGAACAGGCGCAGGGTCTAAAGCAGTGGAGGAACAGTGTTAACCATGGCTTTATCAGAGAGCAACACGTCAACACCTCAGGAAGTGAGGCCACTGTCAAGTAAACAGAAGAATGGCATTGTGAATCGTACCGAAGCAGGTGGAGACAGCTTGCAGGAGATTAGCAAACTTAAACTTTATCCCTTCTCCCAAGTTCCCAAGATGAATTAGGACGGCATCTTAGAAATGAGAAAGCAAACTGGCATGATTCACAGCAATCTGAAAAGCAGAACTTCTCATAAAATGCAAGTAAAAACATTAGAAAGGAAAAGGAACTAAATGGAAAGCTATAACAAACATCTGGAAAGCTTGCTATGTTTGGCCATTTTACAGACTGGTGGAGGGGGTCAGTAATGGTTCTGTTATAAGTAGAGATATCAGCCAAAACAAAGTTCTGCTTAAAGGCATGAGTGGAGACTGCAGAGAGAAGAACATCAATCACTGATACTGACTGATGGATGCTTATTGAAATGCAAAACCTCGGTACAAATAAGGGTCTGAAGGAGGTACTTGACCTTTCTAAAATTAACTAACTATTTATATAAGCTGAAACTAAAACTAAATATTTATATAAGCTGTTTTATTTCCTATTCATTTTTAAAATTATGGTTTGCATTATTTGACTATTTTTATTTGGAAAGTAGGGCTGCACGATTAATCAAATGCGATTGTCATACGCATCTTGTCAGTAAAGCCGGTTCTGTGATTAGTAGTAAATCTTCATCACCTGCTTTCAGATGGAGCAGCATTCACTACATAGAGCCGTAGTTCACTGACAAGCTATGCAAAAAAATCGCGGACGATATAATCGTACGATTATGAAATCAAAGAAATCGTTCGCTATAATAACAGCTGTTTGCATAGCTTCTCAGTGAACTACGGCTCTGTGTAGTAAATGCTGCTTCATCTGAAAGCACGTGTTCAGCAACCGCTATAGGGATTTCCTGGGTTTCTTCTGCGGGGGTGTTTGGATTTTCAGTGTGAGAGCGCCCTCTGGCCTTCGGATTTACTGCTGATCACAGAACCGTGCTTCACTGACAGATACGCATGGCAATCACAGCTTCTGCCTAATCGCGATTGCGATTTCATTTCGATTTATCGTGCAGCCCTATTGGAAAGTATTTAAATAACTTTATTAAATTTTATAATTTGTAAACCAGCCTGTTAGGCTAATCATTACATTTCGTTACTCTTATGTGACAGTGTCACATAATAACTCTGATGTGCTAGGTTTTATTATTAAGTAATTATTAGTAGTAAAATTAAATAAGCAAAATGATTTATTTATGTATTAAAAAAAAAGGCAAATCACTCAATACTGGGGGCTAACTGATTTGGGACTAAATGATGGTTGATACATTTATATTTCTCATAAATTAAATTCAAATGTTTTGGTGCAATACATTTTTTAAGCATGGACCTTTTTCACATTTCCGGGTTTCTCAGCAGCGAAAGTCGTCATAGTTGGGTTAACTTGAAGAGCAATGAATGGGAGGGTACCACAAATATATTTTTTTGCATTCCCATTTGCTCAAATAGCAAAAGAAAAACTCCACAATAGTGTTTTCATGACTTTAAAAAAAATGAAAAAAATGAAGAGAGACTGATAACAGCAGTCCTAAGAGAGAACGATGTCAAATTTACCATCCCTCCCATAGACGCTGCATTAGAAACACCCTCACATTAGTGTTAACTAGTTTTTTTGGTATTTTGATGCAAATGTGAGATGAAAGTATAGTGTTATAAATGTACATATATATAAAAAAATATATATATATAAATATAAAAAACTTTTGAGGATGTACGATGCTGAAAGGGTCCATTTGTATGTCTTGTGAAAAGGGTCCATTGTTAGATTTTTGAACAAACATCAATTTAACCCATTATGCCAACACTAAATGAATTCAGTTGTTATATAACACACACACACAAAATAATTATTTATTCCTGTAATGCTCAAAGTAATCTGATGCAAAATTTACCCTATCATTGAAAGTACTTTCTGCTCAGGCTGTGAGGTGATGAATGTTTATTGAATTTGTGATCTCATTATACTAATATTTCATAAAACCAAACCAATTGTCTCAGTTTGTTCAGCTTCTTGAATTCGCTAAAGCCACTTTAAAGACAAATGTGGTCATTAACTGGTTCCAATTAGATTTCTTTTTCAGCACAGTTTGTTTTTGCATTCATTCATCTCAGGAAAGTCCTTTCACATGCCAGCAGGGATCTTGGCATGATCTAAACACAAATTGATCCACAGGGTCTGAAGGGAGATCCACTGAGTCAAAACCATCTGATTCAGATGCGAACATGCGTTCATCTTGCCCTTCATCATGTTTGCCATAGGATGGGGGGTTGAATTAAATAGCTTGTGAGGGCACCTATTGAGAGGACATCAAGCATGTTGTACTTCTGTTGATTAACAGTAATACCATGGTTGATGTAATAGAGTCTCCAGCTACAGTCAGGACTGTAGCTTGGTTTTGTTTTGGTGGACAGTATATTCAAAGAATATTCAAATCGTTATGTTATAACAACACATATTTGGCATATTAAAATGTTGCCTAGATTTCATTAGCACTGGGATCAGATTAAAAAAGACACTTTATTTAACAACTCTGAAAAGCATTAATAAAAAAATATAGGCCTATCTGATTGTTTGGTTACAATGAGCTCAAAAAGAGCAAAATGCAGTTTTCTCTCTTCCCATGTTTGTCTCTTTTTCCTCATACTTACCTGTGTTGATATACTGCTGTTACTCACTTGTGTGTGTGTGTGTGTGTGTGTGTGTGTGTGTGTGTTCATCTGTTGACTACTGCCATTGCCTTCATCTGTGGCCAGCTCTTAGTCCCAAGATTTGAGTTCAACACCCTCCAGTCCAGTTTTGTCCATTGCAATTGTAATGATGCTGCCTTTCTAAAGTATCCAGTAGTACAGAGTAATGGCTGACTGACAGATGGCTGCTTTCAAGTGATCACATGCATATTCAAGCTACATGAATGGCAAAATTGGCATCTTGGTCAAAATGCTTATCTTAGTGAGCTGTTAATGTAAACGCAGTCAGTTATGGTTTACAGGTAAGACATTTATAAGGTTACAAAATAAATCCTGTTATTTTGACCCTTCTATTCATCAAATAATTCTGAAAAGAAAGTATCACTGCGTTTCAACATTAATAAGAAGAAGAAATGTTTGTTAAGAACAAATTCAGCATATTAGAATGATTCCTAAAGAATCATGTGACACTGAGGACTGGAGTAATGGCTGATGAAAATTCAGCTTTGCCATCACAGAAATTTATTAAAATGTATTCAAATAGGTTGTTTAAAATGTAATAATTTTTTTTTCAATATTACTGTTTTACTGTATCTTTGATCAAATAAATGCAGCCTTGGTGAACATAAGTCACTTCTTTCAAAAACATTTTAAAATCTTAATGACCTGTAACTTTTGACCCGTAGTGTAATTGATTGTTTATTTGAAAATACATCTATTTATCTATTTTTGCTTAAAAATACTGGAAAATACTTCTCTATTAAGTAAAATAGCTTTAAAGTTATTAAATACAAATAAATTAAAGCATCAGAATCATTCTGGTTCAGTTACTTTAATTTATTCCTATATTGCATTATTGTTGTTATTTTTGAATAAAGGAGTGTGTTCATGAGCATAATAGTTTTTGTTGTAGTACTGAAAATCATGAAATTTTTTTGGTATTGACACTAAAATTATTGCTATTATGACAACCCTATATTGACCAACCTATTGCTCAAAAATCAATGTGAAAATGTATGGTTCATTCATGTATGATGTTATAAATGTAACCTTTTGGAAATGGTATGTTATTTCACAAGCAGTAAACCATTGCTCATCAAAGCAGGGACCCACAGTTCATCAATGAATCTCTGTGTTACCTCTGTTTATCCTGCAGTGTCTGGATGCCAGAACTAGCAGTCATGGAGCTGGGCAGGCAACTGTGTGGGAAGATGAAAAAACAGAGGAAGGCAGAGATGACCGTTCCGACTGTAATGAAAGGACTGGAAATCCACTTCTACCTGCCTGACACAAACCAACTCGAGTACTTCAAAGACTGCCACACTGCGGAAGACCTGTGCGTGGAGGCTGCCAAGAGATGCCGTAAGTGTTTGGACAGCCACCTATTTAGAGTGCTAAAGTATTGCACCCTCTAATGCATCTCCGAGGACATAGAGTCAGTGTGGTCATGATGGTATGTTTTCTTAGCAGTGATGCATCCTTTCATCATAACTATTTGGATGGGAATAGTTGTCAAAGCAAAGTATGAGTTACGGGTATTACATACACAGAGCATCTGTGATTTCATGTGCACGTTTATCAGTGTACTATTTTTGTTCTTTTCCCATCAGAATAAAGTGGGCTGTAGAAAGAACATTGCACAAAAAAATAGGGTTTTTACAGCTCAAAATCAATATGTGCATAAAAAGGGACATTTTTTTTTCATGCATTCGGTTTCATATTTTGATTGTGCGATTGAGGAATGGGGCTTTTGTACCGTCTGCATTTCACAGAATACAAAAGAGGAACTTAAAGGGTTTTTACGGTTGGTATCATCATGTGACATGGGTGGATTATGACAAGACGTGGACTTTAGTATGAGAAGCACTGTGACTGATTGCCCTGTCCGCCCCTTTCCATCTCTCAATGGAACACTACATCTGTCTATTCGGCTCTTGATCAATATTCAGCCACAAAATGGCTGCTGGGTTTAAATGTCACATCCATAATTTCCTCAAAGTTACGGCCAAGGACAAAAGCTGGCTTGGACAGTGAGAGAGGAAAGGGAAGTTTATATTAGACAAGAAGGCAGCTGCTGGAGAGGAACTACGATGGTGTTTGTTTCACACAGTTTTTTTTTTTTTCACACTCTGTAGTTAGCCACTGGTTTTACTTCAAAGGTTATGTTTTCAGTACTCCTTTTTTTTTTTACTAGTCCAGCTGATAGAATATTTCTAAGACGCACTAACCATGCCAAGATTGTGGGTTCAACTCCAAGGGAACAAATGTATATCTTGAATAGCTAATACTGAAATAAAAATAAATGAAAACCTTTATATGTTAGCCTTACTATTTTTGTTCTTTAATTTGTTTCATTCTCATTTTGTTGTTGTTTTATTCATACTCCATGCTTTGTATATTATGTTAAATACCTCAAATAAAATATAAAAAAATGAATAAAAACTTTGTAGACATAAAATGCTAATAAAAGTAAAACAAACACACTAAAATTAAACAGAAATTAAAATTAAAACATAAAAATAACTCATTCAAGCAAAATTGCTCAAGCTTTGTTATCTGTAAACTTAGTACATCAGGTTCAAACTAAAACCAAATGTACTGTATCTTTTCCCGTTTGCATAGGAGATGTGCAAACCTTTGACCCACTTTTGTTGCATGTTCCAGTAAAAGCCTGTCAAATTCTTTTGCTTGGTAAACTTTTCTCATAAACAGCCATTAGCTATGAGTATTTCCTCTTAGGCATCATCTGATGAGGTTATTTGCTGGTGAGAACTATAAGAATGGCAGGTATAAAAATAACTGTTTGAATCAGGCTCTAATTGTGAATATATTTTTCCCCAGACATCTCACCTTTGTGTCACAACTTATTTGCATTGTATGAAGAGAGCCAGGATCTTTGGTATGCTCCCAATCATGTGTTCAAGGTCACGGAGGAGACCAGCATCAAACTTCATTACCGTATGAGGTGAGTGGGCACAACTGAATGCTGCTGCCAAAACCACCCAAAATGTACGATTTTTGGGTTTACAAATAAAAAAATGAATCAAATATGAACAGACTTTTTTTTAACATGCAAAAAACATGGAACATGAATTTTGAAATAATAGTAGGCTCTAAAAATGTTGCAACTAGTGGTGTGTGTAAAAAATTTGCAACCAATTGTAGTTGTTATGTAGCATCTTTGTTGCATTACATTTTTAAAGCACATCTAACATTACATTAAAAATTCAAAACTGCTGTTCAAAAACCCCATTAGAAATTCCAGGGATAACCTATGAATTAGCATCATTCTAATTCTCTAGCAAGTTTTTTGTCTACAAGCTGAACTATTAAGATTTTTGGCATTGTGTGGCATTATTTTAATGATGATTAAGAACATTTTCACTACCAAATTCTCATTAATGTAATAAGAAAAAGTATTAATATATATAGTTATGTCTTATAATAATAATAATAGTAATAATAAGATATAATTGAATGCAATTTAAAAAAAATTATTTTGTCTTTTTAAAGTGAAAAATAACCTGGACATTTATTGATTGGTTTAGTGAAATTTATTTTTTGATGTCAGTGTTCTGTTAAAGGTGCAGTAAGTGATTTCTGGCAAACGCTGTTGATATTTGAAATTACCAACATAAACACGTCCCTAACCAAAAGGATCACACATCTTGATGCCTCCACCCCCACATTCACGTACACTCTATGCAACACATGGAACAATTAATCACTAAAAGGGGAACCAAAAGAGAAAACATTATATTAGGAGTATGTTCTCTCACTTTTCATACACCCTTTGGGAGCCAATGTTTGACTGTGGCTCCGGACAGTGGAGAAGGTTTAGACGTTCCAGACTTTATTAGGCGTGGAAATCAACGTCTCTTTATCATAGCTGAATGAAGGAAAATAATAACGCAACTGAAACAAACAAGCAAAGATGGCACACAAGTATATTCAAGCAAAGGACAGCATATCTTAGTTCTGTGAAAAACACAAAACCTACATTACTCATGTATAGAGAAGAAATAAAGCAACCTTCTGCATCTGTTTTCAGGCTTCCTAGTCTCTCCAGCTCTGGAAAGCTTCTGGCATTTTTTTTTTGCACAGGTCCCTAGCCTGATCGTAACCTTTCGTTTTAAAATTACATTCCCCTGACCCTTTTCTCTTTTGTATTTTCTCTACCATGTCTCACTTTATATAGTCATTCTCCTGATGAGTCCATCATGA